CCAACATATACTAGGTGTTTAATATATATTTAACATATATTATCTCCCTTTTACAAATAAGGAAGCTGTCTGGCCTAGAAGGGTCTGCCCAAGATCATAAGAGGCAGAGCAGAGCTGAAAACTCAGATCTTCTTAATCCAAGGGCCTTGTTTCTATTACTCTCTTACCTAAGGAAGCTTCAATTTTCTTATATATAAAACAAGAACACCACCTATCTAACAGGATCGAATTGTTAGTATTGGCGTTTATGTGTATAAATCATCGAGAACAATGCTCAAAAATAGACACTTAAGTTTCTCAGAGATAACACCAAATGGCTGATGACACAGGTGCTACAGGAGGGTCTGGAGGCCCCAGAGGCCCTGGAATGGGAGGCCACTGCAGCTTCCTTGGAGGATTCCGCAACAGTGTCTAGGGTGGAGGTCAAGGCCAGGGTCGCAAGAGGTGGATCCCTGTCACCAAGCTGGGCCGCCTGGTCGAGAATATGAAGACCAAGTCCCTGGAGATCTAACTCTTCTCCTTGACCATCAAGGAATCTGAGATCAATGACTTTTTCGTGCATACATCCTTCAAGGATGAGGTTTTAAAGATTATGCTGGTGCAAAAGCAGACCCACGCTGGAGAGGACCCAGTTCAAGGTATCTGTTGCATCAAGGACTATAATGGTCATGCCGGTTTGGGGGTTAAGTACTCCAAGGAGGTTGCCACTGCCATCCATGGGGCTATTATCCCCGCCAAGCTCTCCACCTCTGTGCGGCAAGGCTACTGAGAGAACAAAATCGGCAAACGCCACACCATCCCTTGCAAGGTGACCAGCTGCTGTGGCTCTGTGTTTGTGTGCCCTATCCACATCCCCAGGGGCATTGGCATTGTCTCAGCCCATGTCCAAGAAGCTGCTGATGATGGCTGGTATTGATGACTGCTACACCTCAGCCAGGGGCTGCACTGCCACTCTGGGCAACTTCACCAAGGCCACCTGTGATGCCATCTCTAAGACCTACAGTTATTTCACTCCCAACCACTGGAAAGAATTGTCATTCACCAAATGTTCCTATCAGGAATTCACTGACCATGTTGCAAAGCTCCACAGAGAGGTTCTGTGCAGAGGACCCAGGCTCCAGCTGTGGCCACCACAAAACTCTATACAAGAAAAAATTTTTTTTTCCTTTATTATAATAACCAATTAATAACTTTTTAATAAACAAGAAAGCAAATTTGACAAAGCAATATAGGAGGTGGATTTCAGCTGCCATATTCTTTCCATTGTAAGAATAGCCATTGTCTTCAAAATCTTTTCACATTTTGCCAAAACATTTTTCCTACAGGCTTTCACAGTTTCTCTTAAGCCTGTTTAAAAAGATGGATGCTTACTCTTAATATCAGTAATCAGATAACTGTTAGCTAAGTTTTTAAGGCTAAACTTTTTAGCAATGTCTAATAAACAGGTCTATACTGGGTCTACGGCCATCCTACCCTGAACAAGCCTGATCTGGGAAGCTAAGCAGGGTTGGGCCTGGTTAGTACTTAAATGGGAGACCACCTAGGAAGACCAGGTGCTGTAGGCATAAAAAATAAAAAAATAAGAGATTGTAAACTGACAAAGTCCTTGAAATCTGTGAGGTCGATCAAGGGTTGCCTTGCCTAAAAAATAAAATAAAATAAAATAAATTAAAACAAGCCTCTACTGAAAAAGACTCAGAATGTATATACCTATGACCTATACCAAAAATTCAATTTTATAATAAAGATAAACATGGCTGGAGTTTATGAAATGTATAATCTTGAAACAAATATTTTAGAAAAATTTGTTATAGGAATAATTTTAATAATTGTAATAACTGTTTACAGATGTTTTATATTGAAATAAATTATGTAGTCTATTTAGAAATAACTTTTAAAAGCTTGACTAAACTTGGTATCTTCGCACAGGAAGTTAGAGGCAAAATCCAGTAGAAGAGAAAAACTGATAGGTAAACAGCTAAAAATAATATTAATGAACACTTACTGAGTGCTTACAATGTGTCAGACACAATGCTGAGCATTTTACATCTTTTCTCATCATCTTTAAATAACCTATAATTATCTTCACCGTTTTGCACATAAGAGACCTGGGACTTAAAAAGGCAAGTAATCTGCCCAAGGTCACACGTTTAGTAAGTAACCAAATAAGTCACACGTTTAGTAAGTAACCAAATAAGAACCCAGGTCTGACTCTCACTCCAAAGTCCATAGGCAGTGCAAAAGCAAGGTGAAGGAAGTGATCAACACTATAGAGTTCTTCCGTTTAGAGCTCAGAACCTCATTCTCCTTCTCTTGTGTGTATTGTTTGCTCTGTGTAGCCCTAAAGCCTGGAGCCACTCCTGGCACAGGAATAGGCAAGTGAGTCAGGACTGTCCATCACAGTACTCCATCGTTTGGCTATAGTGACTGCTCCAAATGAGGTCGTATAATACAAATGGGGCTACTCCATCCTCCCCTATGATAGTCACCCAACTGACAGTAACAAAAAAAAAAAAAATTTAAAACAAGAACTCAAGTAACATATTGGAATATCCTGCTATTTAAAGAAAAAAGGCAAGTCAAAATTTAAAATACATAGGCTGTTATAAAAGATTTTGAAAACCATTTAATATCCAGGACTATTTTTATCCTTTTAAATTTTTACATCTACCATATCACCATCTAGCGATCCAGGCAACTAATTCAAAATCATAAATTATCCATACCCTATCCTTATTACCCTGAAATTACTACTTAAAATTAGTTGAATATTCTTCTATGTATTTTTCGCTTACATATACATGTTTAAATATGGTTTATTTAATAATGGGTTCATACTATTATTCTATAACTTTTTACTTAAGATAAGCATAGCTTTCAAGCCAATATACTTCAAAGGTGTACCTCTTCATTTTTAGTATCTGTAATAATGTGGGCATACCATAATTTTGATGTAAAATAAGGACTTTTCTGAGTTTTTGCTATTACAAATAATGCTACAATATCACTGTGTATTTCTTTTTCCTGTATATTTCTTTAAATACTAGTCCTTATATTTCTATCAGATAAATCCCCCGATGAATTTCTAGGTCAAAGGATTGTATTTTAATAAATATAGGTATATTAAGTTCCCCAAAAGTAGTAATAATTTATGGACTCACTGATAATTTGAGGGTAATTGTTTTCCCCATGCCCTTGTCAGTACTAGAAATTATCATACTCACTTTTGTCCATCTGACTAAGTGGAAAACTGTTGTTTTTAGTGACAAAGAACATCTTTTCATGTTCATTGTCCATTTGTATTTCCCCTTTTGTGAAATGCCTGTTCCTATCCTTTACCCTTGATTCTGTTGGGTTATATTTTTATTAATTTGTAGAAACTTATGCCTTTTATCAAACAAAGCTTTTTAAGTTTTTCCGCATTTAAATCTGACAGTTTCTCTCCCACAGATTCTAGATTCTGTGTTTTGCTTAGGCCTCATCTGCTAACCAAGATTATTAAAATAATCTCCTATTTTTTTCCTAATTATTTTATTACAATTTGGTTTTTGTTCTTACTTTACATTTAGATCTTCAATTCATCTGGAATTTATTCTTGAGGTGTTATGACCTAGGAGTTCTCCCAACACCATTTACTGAATTATCCATCTTTAAATGCCTCCTGCTAGAGTAACAAATGATTACAAATAGCTAAGTGACGGACAGATAGAATTCCTAGAAATTCTTAAACTTCACTAACTGAAGCAAAATTTCACACTTATTAAAAGTTTATTGAAAGACATTCATCATTTTTTATTTAAAAGAAAGCACACATTGGGACAAATGCATACAGTATACCAATGTCAGCATACTGGCTTTTTAATATAGAAGCAATCTAAATTAAATTAAAACATGGTCTAACCTTTTAACATAAATGGTAAAAACAGAAATGATTGTTGCTTGAAATCTCAAGATTTTTCATTGATTCAGGTCACAAATATTTGAGCACCAACTGACAGGTGCTCAGGATACAATGGGGGACAAAACAAGTATGATCCTTGTTTTCAGGAAGCTTGCAATCAGGTAGGAGCTTCCCTCTCTCCTAGAAAACAATGTGTTTATTTTAAATGAAAAAAAGGAAAAAGAAATGTATGCTCACACAATGCAAAACATTTTGTTAAATTTTATGACACATTCGGTATTTTCCATTTCCAAAATACTATCTTATTTCAAATTACCTATTCACCCTGGTGGCTGCTGTCTCTTTACTGTACACATGCTAAAAATACTGGTAGGAAGTCAAGATTAACTCCATTTAAAGATTAACGATTATCCATCAACCTACACCTAACATACATATGTCTAGTTTCCTCGTTTTCTCAACACTATTTCATTTCTTTTACTACAATAAGTAAAATATCAATAACAGGAAACATAGGTTTATTTACATCAGTCATGTTCAATCTATCAAATCAAAGGTGTTTCTAAAAAGTATATGTAGATTTAAAGATGTTTCAATGAATCCTAGAGACCTAGCAATGGCAGTATTGTGTCACTTGGAGATGAAACAAGAACACCAGTGGCCCCTGAAGGACACAGGTAATAAGGGTGACACACTAGTGACGATTATCTTAAAATTCAGGTCCCACCACTGAGACTGTCCCCACTCATACACTTAAGCCTTGGGAGGCCCAGCCCCTGTGGCCACGCCCCCCCACCTCAATCCCAACCCACCGCCTCCTCCCTGCACCCCAGCCCCTCCCGACCGAATGGGGGGCTGGACAAAGCACCGCCAAGGAGACGCGACTACGCGGGGTGACCTTGGCTAAGTGTCTCCCCCTCAGTTTTCTCATCTGTGATATGAGGCTGGTACTCCGCACCCGCCTCCATACCCAGGCCTGGGTCCGGCATCTAATACTGCAAGGCCAGGAGAAAGCTGCAGCCCTAAGCCCCACGCTGCTCCCCCGGCTGCCCCGCGCCAGCTCCCACGTGCGTCCGCGTCCTGCGGCCACGCGCGCTACCTGCCATCTGCGAGACGAAGGCTTCTGCCACCAGAGACATGTCGGCTAGGCGGCCCTGCGCCCGAGTGTCCTGCTCCTCGCTGTCCTCAAGGTCCTCCTCCGCAACCCCAGTGATGCCCGGCAGCTAACAGGTCTGACCCCGGTTGAGGCTGGGACTTGTAAAGCCCACCGTGGCGGCGGTGGCGGCGGCGGCGGCGGCGACGTCGGCGACGGCGAGTACCCCAAGGTTACCGCCAGGTCCGGCCAGGAACTTCCGGCGCAGCTGACAGCGGCGCGCGAGCGCTTCCGCCGGCCCTGCCTCCGCCCTCCCTCGGCTCCTAGGCTCCCCTCGCTGCCGCGCGGGTGGCGGAGCGGCGGCCTTCCTGGTTCTTGACTACCCTAACTTCCAGACTGGGGGGTGGGCAGGGGAACCCCCGGGATTTTTAATATCCTTCCTGTAAGCGAGAACTTTGTAAACAAGTAACCTTGAGTAACAACTCAGTAGACGGTATTGTTATCGTCATTTTACTGGTACGGAAACAGGTGTAGCGAATTTAAACTGCCTGCTTGGGGAGACCGCTCAGACCCAGATTCGAACCCACTTTAATTTCCTCTGTTCCACTATACTGCTAGGTTGATTAGTCCATGGACAGACATTAGTGATTAATTTTTCTTTTATTGGAACATGCTTGCCAGAGACAAAAAGACTTGAGCAGTGCCTAAGCTGAGAGATAGTTTACCCTTCAACTCTTTGCACCCCAAATGAAGCTCATCTTGGAGAATAAGATACACACTCTAGTTTCACACACTTCTCCCCTTCTGGGGGGGCTGAGAGAGACAGGAAGAGGAGAAGAAATTGAATCCCACAAGTCACTTTTTACTCCTTAACCAAATAATTTCTTATAGGTATACAATTAAAGAAAAATCAATATGTTACAGATTTAGAGGTATAAGATTTTACAAGTGAAACAGACTTCGGAGATCATCTGGTGGGCCAAAACCTCTTTTTACTGATGAGAACAGGTTCAGACAGGTGAAGGGACTCATTTTAAATCACACAGTAAATCAAAAAGTCAGATAACTTTAAGTTTTTGCAAAGGAAACCTGATGGTTCCATGACGTTTAGGAAGCTGTCTCCTTTCTGTATCCTTCCATAACTCTCTCTAAACATCTGTGACAATTTAATGTTCATATTTCTGCCTCTTTAACTTGTGAGTTCTGAGAACTAGACTGGGGAAAGCAAAATCCAACAAGTCCAAAGGGCAGAGGTGAGCCCAAAAGTGGGGAAAAAATGGCAAGAGCCAGAGACTGGGCATATAGGCAAGAGAAACAGAGCAAGATGAGAGGCAAAGGAGAATGTGCCCTTGTAATTTAAGTGAGTGTCTATGGCTTAATCATTAATGAATGGCACATGGATGAACTGGGCTGGCTCAAAGGTACTGAGTTGGAACTGACACCAACCCTGTTCTAACAGGCTTTTGAGAAAGAAACAAGGATCTGCTGGGGGCACTGTCTGTGCTCAACCTTTTCTTCATTGTAGCTAGGGAAACAGAATCATCAGTGCCATATGGATTCACTTTTTCTCCCTAACTGACAGTTTCTTTGCTTCCCACACAGGCTAATTTAGGCTGGAAAGAATCTATAATGTGGGAGGTCTTTATTACTAAAAATTAAATCCAATAAAATGCAGATGTCCTGACGGTACCCACAAACAAACTGTCTTTGTAATAAATAGCCAACTGGAGAAAATATATTTATGCATCTGTATTAGAACAACTGGCAGCTTTAAACTTGAAGATCTGTTTAAGATCACCACAGTTAAGGAAAATACAAGAAAACAAGCCACTGGAATTTTTAAGAATGAGTTTATAAAACAACAGTGCTAGAGAATCCATATGTTACTAAAAGGATAATCATATAATTATTTAAAATAAAATACTAATGCATGACATTAGTAGCCTTATTCTTTGCCCTAATTAAAATCACTTTTCTTGCAAAACTGTCCTGTCATAAGAATATTTTCATCTAATCTAGATTTTATATCACTATAGTATAGAAAATATACAACTATTATGATGAATATAAACTTAAAGATTAAAATACTAAGGCATTTAATCTGCATTTCATTTTTCTCTGACAGAATGTTAATATTTTAAATGTAAATATTTTATTTTTTAAAATACGCCTGTGAGAGAAAAATTGGGGCTGGGATTCCTTCGAAATTATACAATTTATTTGACAACAATATAATAAATTCAGGCCTTTTTATGAAATTAGTCCACCCCCACCACATCCTATCAACAGAATTAATTATGGTTAATCCAAGAACCTAAATAGAATGTTAATACAGGTAAAACACTAAGGTAACCATGTTATGCCCCAGAGCTTTTCTGTTTATCTGTTAACAGTTTTTACTTTTTAAAAATGATGGAACTGTAGACAACTAAAAGCGATCTAATATATGAGGTTTACAAAGATATTTTTTAAGGGGTACAGAAATGTGGCAGCCATTCGTACTTATATCTCTGAATCGTCTTCCTGCCATTTTTTTTAATTCCTAAGAAATCATGACCAATGCAGAACTAGGTTCTTACCTTTTTCTCACTTTACGATCTCACCCTCTTAAATTTTAGGCTAGCTCACCCTTACATGAACTACAGGCATATGGGACTACACTTTGGGAAATATCTGCATTATTGATTATCGTGGGCCTAAATTCTTCAAAAAATTACTGGTTTCAAAAGAAATTAAAATACGAAATTTCCAAATTATCCTGCCAAATTGGGTGGAATATATATGTTGCCTCATTTTCTTGTGAATAAAACTGTGTAAAAATATGTATATAAAAAAATTGGATGGGATTTCTCAAATGCATTGTATCGAGGAGGGAGAATTTTTACTTTTTTGCTTTCTCCTAAACTTTCTGTGACATTTTTATGCCACTTTTATCATATAGGGGGAAAAGTGTTTTTATCCAACTGGGGAGAACTTTAAATGTGACTATTATGGGAAGTGATCAGACCTGGCTACATTCAGGCCTTATATAACATAAGTCTCATTAGCCTTAATTATACTGCTGAGAACCTATCTTAAACCAGCTTCATGTTCCATAGCATAGTCACTCCTACAGTAATAATGAGAGAAGAACATGTACAGACACACAACAGCAAAAATACGTTGTTTGATGCCCTTATTTAAGACTGTATACAGATGAGCAAGACATATCTCATTGTATGACTCTTACTTTTTAATACAGAATGATGTGTTGAAGAGAGAAAAACTGGCGAACATTGTAGACCAGTTGTAGACAGTCTTGCTTTTGATGATGGTTTGGCATTGGTTTTAGACTTTATCTGAGTTGTCGTATTTTACCTTTCAACCTTTAAATAAAGCTGAAGAATTGGTGATGGTGATTAAGGAGACTGAAGCAAGAATGTCTACAACATGTGTGTCACAAACAACAACTGGGAAAGACACAGGCCTAAGCAAAATTCAGAAGGACAACTGAGCACTTAGAGCCATTTCGAGAAAAATAAGAAAAGATAAATAGGTCACCTCTGATGTAAAGTCAGCATCTAGAAGGTTATGCCAAACGACATAACCACTACTATTTTCCTTTGCCTTCTTTTCTAATTAGAATCTATATTAAAGCATCAGATTCATTCACTCATTCATTGATTTTGTGATACTGAGCCCTCAACTAGATGGTGAAGATACTAAGGTGAACAAAATTCAGTGTCTGCTCTGAATTCAGTGTTAGTCTAACTAAGAAGATGGATACAATTGAGAAGATGGACAAGCAAACAAGTCATTTCAACACAAGGTAATAAGAGTTGTGAAACAGTGTCCAAACCTATCTAAAGTCATAGACAATGTTACCTAAGAAATGTTTTAAGGTGCTATGTTGCCATAGCTACCACAATTCTTCGATGTAAGCGAAATGCCCTTGCCAAGATACCAGATACCTTTCTGAAATTTAGATATATGAAAAATAACTCCTCGACCTGATATAAAGTACACCTTATAGTAACCTGACAGCTCATCAAATAACTTAAGTGTTCAAAGGGATAATGAACAACCTTATTTTGTCACGTATTTGAACCTTACAATCTCTCAAAGGCATAAACATGCTTCTGTTTGTGGCAATTCTCCCCCACCCCCCACCCCCCGCCGCCTTTCTACATAAAATAAAAATATATCACTATATAATTCTTTAGAATTAAAAACAACCATGTTAGGCTGTTGCTCAGTTCAAATATCAGTGTGAAATACTTGGTATCTTGCCAGCTTCCTTTTATTATTTTTTAACAGTATCCTAGAAATAAAACACAGGAACTCAAAAAAAATAGGAACAACTAATATTGGGTGGCAGCACCTCTTGCCAGTCATAGCTATGGGTCCCATTTCCTCTCTGGAAAGTTTTTTTTAAGTGATTGAATACTCCTCTCCACTATTAGACCCAGTCGTTCACATGAACCCAGATCTACTTTTCAGTTTTGTCTGTATTTTACTGGCATAATGAACCTAATTCTATATATAAAAATCACAAAATATCATCTGCCTCTGCTTGTTTAAAATTTAATTTATTTATACTAGTAGTGTCATCAGGCTACTACTACAATTCAGAAAAAAATATTGTATGTGAAGCACTCATTTGCATCCAAACTGCAATCTAAAGCTGAAGTATTAAAACTCAAATAAGAAGGCCTTTCACTGTCTTAAGAAAGGAGAAGAGAATTCAATTTCTCCGCACAGACTCCCTCATCCAGTTTTCTCTAAAGATTTATAGCCAAACTCCCCCATACCTGAGAAAAGAGAACCTGCCTACATAATGCATCTATATAAATGTAGTTGCACACATACATAAGTATAACTATGAAAAACAAAGAACCTCAGTATTTTGAAATGAGATAAAAACAGCGAACAAAGATAATACCTAAGAGAATTAATTTTAAAATAATAATAAATTTAGTATCTAACAACAGTTAAAAAATCATGTAAGTCATCTATATATTTTCCTTATGATAAACTAAAAATATATCTTCCAGCTTTTTTCAATGCCCATTATCATGTTGAAGTGTATGCTTACAGCAAAACATAAGGCTTTTAGAAAAAGAATGGCATACTGGAAAACACTTTAAGCTTACCAGCCTTAACCAGATCGTGCTGTAGTAAGAATGCATATTAAGGAAAGTATAACTTAGATTAAAATGTACTTTGACAGGCCTAAAATGAAAATTAAAATCATAGACTTCCCAGTATTTTTTAAATTTAAGTTCTTGAG